ATGGACAAAGTCATACCGGCTGCTTTACGTGAGAGTGTTTTTGTGTATTTAGACGATTTGTTAGTTTGTTCCGAAAGTTTTTCGTCTCATTTAGTTTTGTTGGAAATGTCGCTAGGTGTTTACGTGAAGCCAAGCTCACAATCAATGTTGAGAAAAGTAAGTTTTGTTATCGTGAAGTAAGGTATCTCGGGTACGTGGTAGGAGACGGTTGTATACGAACCGATGCCAACAAGGTAGCAGCAGTGAGGGATTTCCCTGAGCCTCGAAGTCCGAAACAGCTTCGGCAGTTCCTAGGGATGACAGGGTGGTACCGACGTTTCATTCACGAATACGCAACTATAGCCGCACCATTACACGACTGTCTTACCAAGGACCGGATAAAAAAATTCACTATGACTGACGAAGCCAAGGTAGCGTTTCAGCGGTTGAAGCAAAGCTTGATCACAGCACCAGTGTTGACTCACCCGGACTTTAACTGACGATTTTTCATTCAGTGCGACGCATCAAAAAACGGTGTAGGTGGAGTTTTGTTCCAATTAGACGATGACAAGAACGAAAGACCGATTGCATTCATGTCGGCGAAGTTGAACAAAGCGCAGAAAAATTACAGTATAACGGAGTTGGAATGCTATGCCGCAGTCTTAAGTGTTAAGCGATTTAGACCGTACATCGAAGGACTGCCGTTCACTATAATCACCGACCATGCCAGCCTAAAATGGCTGATGTATCAGAAAGACTTGTCGGGACGGCTGGCCAGATGGAGTCTGAAACTGNTCTATGCCGCAGTCTTAAGTGTTGAGCGATTTAGATCGTACATCGAAGGACTGCCGTTCACTATAATCACCGACGGTAGAAAAAAAAAGTAATATAAAACGTGCATATACATATATACATACATACATATATTTATGTGAGGTAACAAAGGCACATGAATACATGTTTGCGCTTGTTAAGCATATATGTGCATATGTATACGCATATTTTTGAGATTTGAATAGTTAAATACAACAAAAAAACGATTAAAAAATAAAAACTTTAAGAATTGCAGTGGAAAGCGCGAAAAAAATACAAGAAATACAAAAGAAAGACAGATATTTGTGAGTAAGGGAATAATTAAGGTATTGTTAATAGAAGTAGATAATTAGGCAAAGAAAAAAAAGGAAGAAAAAAAATATATATATATACCTATAATAATAATAATCATAAAATTTGGATTCAGTTAGTAGTAGAAGTAAAGAAATAGTATAAGAGGAATTTTATGTGTTAGGTTTTGTTTTGATGTAATTTAATAAATGAAGTTGTATTACAATGAAATTCAGTTGAACATAGCATTATTATTCAACAATTTTATAATGAGCTCGAGGCCATTTTTTTAAATGAAAAATTTATTGTGGAAAAG